CCTTTGTCACATGGCATTCCCCCGCTATCTCCTTATATTTCCTCTTTGTTTTTCTCCAGTCCACTATCAGGAAAAAGCCCCCAAAAAGTCTAGGCTGGCATTTGTCTTGTTTCTTTTTTACCCCAGTTAAGGGCAAAATTAAAGGTTATATGTCCATTTTTGTTCCTCCATTTATTACTGACCAACATACTGTAACTTGAAAACTAATGGCCAGTTTTGCATAAAATGTGGTTTGTACATTCCTGCTCCCAAGAGGAAGAAACCTGTTGATATTTTGTGACCTTTTCCTCGAAACACCATCACACTTACACTTCTGTAATCTATACTTGGTAAAATGAAGGATTATGAAACCTGAGTGCAGATCTGCAACCCATTGTTTTAGATGTTTGGTTCCAGGTGCAAAGGTCTTGATAGAGTAATCGGTGTGTAAAACTGGATGGTAAGATGATGTCTTATCTCTCTGTAACAAATTTTAAAGAAATCTCCATTTTCCAGTAAAAAATTGTAATTTTCCTTACATTCATTTCCCTCCTGTGTGGGAGCTTCATTATTTGCGTTGGTGTGTGTTTTCAGTTTTTACTGGGCTCATGTGACTCTTGATATTTCATTATCTGCATCCAATTAACTCTGACCTTTTTCTCTCTTTCAGAACTCGATGAATCTTCCCCCAGACAAAGCGCGGCTGTTGCGACAGTATGACAATGAGAAGAAGTGGGAACTCATCTGTGATCAGGTGGGCATCAGTCACTATGATATGATCTGTATGTATGATATGATGTGATGTAGCTGCTGTACCAGTCACAGTTAATGCACTGTGGCTGTATAGTTACCAGACTCACAAGAAGAAATGTTAAAAATCTGAATCTTAATTAAGCTTAGGTATACAGTTCAGCCTCCTGTACAGTTTAACAGAGTAAACACAAAGTGTTGCTGCGTAACAGAAAGTCTCAACTATCTACTGAATATCTAATCCAGGAGAAGGTCTGCCCCACTGTGTGTCGTGAACACGGCACCCATGCTCCATTGCGCTGTCTTTATCCTGTAAGCCTCTCCTGGTCTTTAAACACTGCTCTGACTTCCCTGGTCAAGTGGGTTAAGTGGCGCAGCAGGGAGCACACGTCAGTTAGGCAGTTAAAAAACTCCGCCTGTTATTGGCATCAGTGCTGCGTGTAGTGAAATAAGAGGGTGCACGTTGTGCAGTGAGCTGTGGTCTGAGTGCTCCACTCAGCCCGCAACCTCCATGCCATAGAGTTTTTCTGCATCCCTGAGCAGAGGAGAAAAACGGAGACGAGATCAAGACCACCACCCACTCAAACTGTATTGATAGTCACTGACCCTGAAGGGAACGGTGCCGGAGAGAGCCCACAGGGCTCCTGCCCAGCAGACACAGATCCTCTTTCACTTTAGAGTGGACTCTATGTTCCTGTGTCGGACCTGAAGTGAAAATTGTTGGTTTCGCTTTTTTTTTTTGTCTAAAATAAAAACAAAAAACATTGCCAGTGATTTTGCTGACAAGCTTTCTGTCGTCTTGAGTGGCTCACTAACTGTAAAACAGAACAAAATGCAGATACTTTTGTGTCATCAAGTCAGTGTTATCCATGTTTAAAATTACAGGTATCGACTTTGGGTGTTAAGTTTCTGAACTATACACCACTATAAATCCTAAATGAAGTACCAAAAGGTTTGTGTTTTTGGTGCAAGACCATCATTTTCATTTTTTACCATTGATAGAAATAATAAAAGAATATTACTGAGCAACATCTTTATCCCTCTCTTGTTTTCCCATCAAGCCTATACCCATGACAGCACAGGCAGCTCTGGGAGTAAAGTCTTTTCTGTGTCATAGCTACAGTGAATCTCTTTATATAACCATGGCAACAGTGATGGAGGGAGGCAGAGAAGCAGAGATGACAGGTACATCCCCTTTGAAAAACAGATACTGCAAATGCTGCCAAAGGTTGAAATATTAAACGTTTTTCGGGCAATTATGAGGATTTCTGAAAGGTGGAGGATTCTCTTGATGTGAAAACAAGGTTAAGACATCCAGAGTACAAAGACAAGGATATGATGAAGTCATTGCTGTCAGATTGTTTATATAAATAGGTGTTTATGCGTTCTTGAATGCACCCAAAGCATGTCTGAATACAACAAATGGCAAACAACTGCTTGCCCACTTTCTTGTTAAGCGATTCCCCTTCTTAAATCTCTGCTGCACTCCTCAGGTGCAGAGGGGGGTGGGGCTGTGTGGTGTGGTGGGGTGGGTGGTTGGGGGGGTTTAACTCGCCTCTCAGATTTAACACAAACCAGCTCTCCCAGACAAACTCTAAAACTGCCACAGAGAGCATGTTTGAACCAGTTTATATGAGCTCTTAAAAACGTGTGTTCTCTATAATATACTCTCTTGCTTCATGTATTTACAGCCTGTTTCCATTCCTCACATTTCTTTACATGCAACAGGGTATATTCAGCATGTGTCGGCTCATTTACTACATTGCAGACAGCCAGATTTTTATCTTAATTCTTTCGTGACGAAACTCAAACAGCACCAAGCTGTCCTGTTTGCTTGTTGGTGTCAGCTGTGTCCATGACAGCAAAGCTCTCTCTCCTGACGCCACTGTTGTCTTTCCTGTTTTTGTGAGAAAGTTGCACTGTGGCTGGGAGAAATGTAATGTTGCTGATAGACACAGCAAAGCTGGGAGCATTTAGTCCAGTATTTGTACACAGAGGGCAGACACCTTTTTATAATAGCATTACAACAAAGGCTACATTCATGAAGCTGATAATTGAATTTTGTTGAGACTGTCAGAGAGGGGGCGAATCAGCTCTGTGGTCATTTTTAAGAAGTAATTTATGGTAGCCTGTGGTGTTGAATTTCATTATAATACAATGCATCTCTGTCACTGTGGCCACCCTATGTATGAAAATGTAGAGACATAAATATAGCAACATGAAATAAGCATAGAAATGTCTTAATAATCAGCATACTTTATTTCACCGGGAAAAAAACTGGTCCATTTCCATGGGGTATTGTGGGATGTGTAGGAAGTTAAGAAGTGGACAAGGCTGGTTGAGGGGATATGCTTACAGTACACCAAAGTGAAGTGAGTGAAAATACTGGTGGTGCATGGAGGCAAAATTCTCCCTCATCACTGCAGAGATCCAGGGCTCCATTCATAGTTGTGGTGCTTCTGACTCGTGTGACTCGCTGAAAACATTTGTTTGTGTTTAAGAGTGGGAAGCTGGTGAGGGATCACGTCCTTGTCACTGTACTTTCAAATCCCACCTGTTGGTTGGTGCTTCTGCACAGTGGGGGTTGGATCCGGGGCTAGATAGTGAACGTCTTTATGAAGGTTATGACAGGAAAACAAGTGGAAGGTGACCACTGAGCCACATGAACAGCAGGGGAATAGAGCGTTCCAAATTAGGAATTTGTTTACCAAGGTGGTAAAGCACCCGGATCCCGATGCATCTAGTCTCATCTTCACTTAAGTTCATGACAACCTAAACAATAATCAAGGTCAGGTGACGTGGTTTTTCTTTCACGCTAGGTGGCCCACCTCCGCTATTAAATACTGCAGGGAACTCTGGTGTCCTTTGCACCAAATAACAGAATGTATGAAGAAATACTCATTGACTCAGAAAACAGTGGAGCTACCTCTCGGCATGCGGATGTAGAGCCCTCCATGAGCTGATGAATGCATGCACCATATTAGCTTAAGTGAACATGTTTCGCGTGAGGAGCAAATCAAATAACAACCACACAGAAACTGATTCTTATAGATCTCGTTCATACTCTGGTATGCCCTGAAAATCAGATTCTGTTATTAAACAGAGAGAGAGTCTAATGGTGGACTTTTCCTTGAAGGTCATTTCTTTCAAGTCAGTCAGCTGTCCTAGCTAGATGACAAAGTTAAGAACATGTCTTCACTGTCTTTGCCAACATTGTGTGACGAATAAAAGACATGCTCTTCTGCCTCATACTTTCTGATGCGGTGCAGTGGGGTAAATCACCAACCGGAACCATTCATGCTGCTGTGGTGTGGCGCTCAGCCCGATCCAAATACAGTTTCCCCGCTCAACACACTGAGCCAAATCCAGCACTAATCTGTTGTATTTATATTTAGAGCACAATGATGAGGGATTTGACCTAAAACCTGTTCCTGGCATATCTCAGGGTACACACACAACCACACAGGTTTGGTCACAATCCCCAAGGCAGTTTATGCTTAATAGCACAATAAAGCTAATGACGATAATTAACAGGAATATCATTTATGATCTCCTGCAGATTGAACGTCCTTCACAGTCTCCTTGCTCAGTGTTCAAACTGTGACTGGGGTTCTGCAGAGTTCATCACCTTCCTGCTCTCATCCACCGGTTTGCCAGCTAAACATGACTACTGTAATGTAGAAATTAAATTTCCCCCCCAGTGGCTTTACTGCTAGAGAGCGTATTACTTAGGCTCAGTCCTTACTGCAGCGGCCATGGGTTCAAGTCTCTTTGCTGCATCTCATCCCCTTTCTCTCCCCAACTTTCCTGTCACTCCTCTCACTGTCCCTATCTGAATTAAGGCAAAAAATGCCCCAAAAAATAACTTAAAAATATAAATATTATGCGTATAGAAAAGTGGAAATAGAATTAAAGATTCATGTTGTTGTCATGTTCCAAACGCTCTCTTCCCAACAAGAAAAACATGCAGCTGCAGTACAGTACAATTGTTAAAATGAAACACATATTGCAAATTAACCTTGAATGGGCCCAGAAATTAGTTTGAAATGTCCAAGAAAAATTGGTCCATAGATGCTTATTCATTACACTTTAGCAAAGAAAGCACACGTGACCTCTTTAAAAAGCTTATCAGCCTCCACTAAAGCAGGTTGCTATTGGAGGAATCGTTATTTCCATTCATCCTCTTAAAGTGGAATGTGATCTGGGGTTCCCATCATTTGAAAGATGACTCATGATGATGTAATTTAATCAAAGCTTGTTCAGTTTTAATCTGATGGTTTTAGTGTCAACAACAGTTTACTGTATACTGGACATGTGTTCAGGCTTGTGAGGGTGTGATTTTTGTTTATTACATCATGTGTATCATGCAAAGCTATAGAGCTGTCTAAAATCAAAGCTTGGTTCATAATATTACTGTTAAATGTTTTACTTGTGTGATTTCATAACTTCTGTCCTTTTCCTACAAATGTTTTCAAATGTTTAAGTTCCACTCTCTGTGTCTTTCCCATTTTTTTTTTTCCTTCTGCTCATGTCACTCTTTTGTTTTCCTCTTTTTGACAGGAGCGATTCCAAGTGAAAAACCCGCCTCATACGTACCTCCAAAAGCTGAGGAGTTATCTAGACCCAGCAGTCACAAGAAAGGTGAGCCCCCTCTTGCTAACATGCTGTCCTTTTCCACTGGCCTGGCTGTTCCACAGCCGCAGCTTTTCCTTCCCCTCTGACCCTCTATCTCTTGTCCAGGATATCCCTACTACAGCAGAGGAAAGATTGCACACAGGGTTTCTGGAGGAGACAGCTTTGGAACTTTAGTTACAAAACAGGCAACTGTGCGGTTTAGTGTGAACGGAGACATGTTGTTTATCTGCAACGCCCAGGTCTGTGAAACCTCTGCCCAGCTGAAGAGTCATTAGGCAAGACACACCGATCCCTAGTGATGCTGCTCTGTGGCTGACAGCGTGCTCCGACCTCTCTGTGAAGGAGAGGAATGGGGAAAAAAAACCACAACAGTTACTTGAAGGCAGGGAGAATAGAGAATAACAGTGTTGCAGACTGTCAGACTAATTGCTGTATTGACGTTGCCTTGCAGCATGGCAGGAAGTACCAGAAGATATGTTGGTCTGAGCCACATGATAAAAAATGGTCTTATGTCATCTCAGCAGCCACTTCTGCCTGTTTCCCTGGCTGCCTGCAGAAGGGACCAAGCAGAGGGACTCCATGAAGCATAGTATTAGCCAGCTCTCAGGCTTTGCCAAAATTAAGTCTTTTTGGCTTGGGTGAGAGCTGTGCGGGGAGTGCTGGGAGACCAGTCTCTGTGATAAACAAATTAACCAATAGACTCTGCCAGAATAACAAATCACTGAATAATTGAATTTGCACTGACTGGTGTTAAAATTTTAGCTAGAACAGCATGAACAGAGATGACTCTGCGAAAAAGAGAAATAAATGGGCTCACACTGAGGCATATATGGACACACAAACTCTGACGAATCACAGCACTTACACACACTTTACATTACATTGCTCTGCTTCATTTCATAAAAAGTGCAAAAATGTGTTGTGCAGTACATCTTATATATGATATAATTCAGACCTGAATTATTGATGCTTGTAGTGATTCCCAAACGATATAACTCTATTGGGTAATTCTGCATGTTTGCCAGGGGTAGTCTGTGGAGACATTGTGGAGTAAAATTAATTTTAAGAGAAAAACATTTATCCATGCATCCATCCATGTGATACCTTACCAGCATGTGTTGCGATATGAATCAGCAAGCAAGCAGATTTAAAATCTTAAGTTAGCTAAAAGTAAAATCACTTCAATAGTTAATGTTAGCTAAAAGTAATGGATAAATAGTTGAAATAGCTAGCTAAAGGTCAACGGTGAAGTAATTAGCTTTAAGGAAACAGTTAGCTAAAGGTAATTGGTATAAATGACTGAAATAGTTAGCTAATGTTGTTGCATGTTAACGGTTGTGAACATGTAGTAAAACATACATCCTAAAATCATTTCAAATGAAACAGGTTTAATAGGTAGTTCTGATGAAGCGCTATTCTTGAGTTCATCTGATAGGCTAGTTTGGGGAATCAGGGTAAATCGTTTGGGAACCACTGGTCTGGGATACTGCTACACTCCTGTGATTTCTGGATGAATGTAATGTCTGAGAGATTACACACAAGTAGAAGTGATTAAAGGCAGGAGTGACGGAGGTTAAAGGAGATGTAAGCGACATAACAATGTAGAGGTTAAAGCATGACAGTTTGTGCCAGGGCAGTCTCAAGGTTAGAGATGCAGGCTTTTTGATAACTGCTATGAATTTTGAGAGTGGTTGTGAAAATGTAGATGGATTTCGCTTCCCTTCCTCCTGCTGGAGTGCTTCTGAGCAACATATGTTTTTATGTGGGTGTTGCAAGGAATAGTTTGACAATTTTTGGAAATACACTCATATACTTTTTTTTCTGACAGTTAGAAGATTGATACCACGCTCATATCCATTTATTATATAGAATGTTGTGTGAGCTTTAGAGGTGCTAGTAGGTGGTATTTACTCTCCCCTGGAGTGGATCAGGCTAGCTGTTTCCCAGGTTTCCAATCTTTATGCTAACTGAGAGAGAGTGGTGTCGATCTTTTCTTTTAACTCTCAGCAAGAAAGTGTATAAGACCCACCCACCTCTCTGGGTGTCAACACTCAACACAATCATGGCTGAAGGACCTCATCCAGATCAGACAGCCACTAATATCTGTTTGTCTGTCTGTCAGACTTCATCTAAGTCATTTCCTCCCTCTCTTTGCTTAATCTCATCGTTGGTTACATGACCAACTGGTTGTTGGGTCTATATTAAACCATTCTTGATGAGACGACCTTTGAGAGACTTGCCTAAACCTCTCTTTGTTCATTTTATCGTCTTATTTTGAATGTTTAGTCTCATGGGCTGATACGTGGGATTTTGGAAAATCAGCCTGACTTCAGTTGCTGCCTCTGCCTGATCCTGGCTCAAAAACTTGAAGCAGACAGGGACACAGGAGTTGAATGAGAGAGTAAAGTGAGAAGGGAGGGAAAAGCTGAATGACAGAGAAAGGGCAGAGGGGGAGAAAAAGATGGACAGAGAACAGGGGAGAGACAAAAAACAAGCACAAGAGAGCACGGAGGAAAAGAGAGTTATGGGCTTCTTCCTACATTCCCGCTCCATCCCCCTTTTCTTCAAACTCAAACAATTGTGCCACTGTGAGAGAGCTGGAGGTCATTGCCTCTGCTTTCCATAGGCAGGCTCCGGTGCATTCCTCTGGGCAGCTCCCAGCCAATAGGCAGCCAAGGAGGAAGAGCTCCAGTCCAACTAGTCCCCAAGAATGTATCAGCCATTGATTTGTTTCCAGGATGACCCCTCCTGAGCTCACACTCCCCAAAATCTCCCTTTTCTCTTCCCTCCTCCACACTCTCTGTCCTGTCTGTCTCCCTGCTCTTACTTTCCCCTTTCACTGCTCCCTCCCCGTCTCCTCCTCTTTTTCTCCTCTCCCTGCATGCCGTCCTCACCCTCTCTCCCCACTGTCGGTTCCTCTCTCTCTTCCTGCTCTCGGTGATGCAGCTGGTAGTACTTAAAGTGTGGAGTGTAGGGCATTTGGTGGGAGAAGAAGAAGAAGTAGGAGGGGGGGTGGGGGGTTGGGGGGTTGGGGGGGTGGGGTGGGGGGTGGCCTTTGGGAGCCTGCGCAGTATCCCTAAATATGCTCTGCTTTCCACACAAACACACAAAGGGCTCCTCCCTAATAAAAACACTCTGTTTCTCATCTTCTCATGTGCCAAACACACACCGCCCAAGCCCAAAGACACAGGCTACAGAGAGAGAGAGAGAGAGAGAGAGAGAGAGACCCTTGCTGTGGGAACAGCTCTCTTCTCTGTGAATGTTAATAATAGGTTAACACAGGGCTGAGCTCTGTTTCCTCCCTGATACAAACACATCATGGAAAGTGACCCGGCCCTCCAACCCTGGGTGGATACTTGGACCTCTTCTCTTCTCTTCTCTTCTCTTCTCTTCTCTTCTCTTCTCTTCTCTTCTCTTCTCTTCTCTTCTCTTCTCTTCTCTTCTCTTCTCTTCTCTTCTCTTCTCTTCTCTTCTCTTCTCTTCTCTTCTCTTCTCTTCTCTTCTCTTCTCCTCTCTTCCCTTCTCTTCTCTTCTCTTCTCTTCTCTTCTCTTCTCTTCTCTTCTCCTCTCTTCCCTTCTCTTCTCCTCAAACTCAAAACTGCTTGAAAAAAGGACAGAAAACTCATCAATGAAAGTCCCTTGATTAGTCATGATTAGAACAGCAACTAATGATTGTTTTTATTTTCCACAATCTGGTAATTATTTTACAAATTTGTTCTATGAAATGCCAGAAAACAGTGAAAAATGCCCCACTGACAGTCCAAAACTTAAAGATATTAAGTTATTTTTGCTTGAAAAATGGCTTTTATTAATTGTTTGCCATTTCAGCAGTGAAGTTGTTTTGGTTAGCCACAAGGGACTCCATTCGTTTTACTTTGATAAAAATTGTTGAAACCCAATTTCAAAATAGTAGTAACTAGTTTTTTTTTTTTTTTTTACATTATTTACTATAATACAAGTTTTTGACAGCACAAGAGACAACAGCTCAGTGTGAGATGGTGCGCTCTCCTTTTGACATATTGTAATGTATTGTATTGTACAAGACTAGCGATGTAATCAGAGTTACATTTTACTTTTCTTCTCTCCTCTGATGTAACAGTTTCACTCCCTCTCATCAGGGATTTCCCCCTCCTGTTGCACTGAGGCTGCTCAATCACCACTGGTCATTCACTTTGCCTGTTTTGTTTCTGCGGTTGTGTAACCGCCTGAAGGGCCTTTTGTTTTTGTTTTGTTTTTTTTGCAGATCACCTCTTGTCAGAGGATGAAATCAAAGAGGAACCCGCTGACGTTCTCTATTCTGTTGCTCTCTGTTTTGTTCACTGGCAGCTGATACCTTCATGCACGTCTCTCCCACATCTCTTTCTATTCGCTGTAGCCACAGTAACAGGACCAAGAATGTGTATGTGTGTGTACATGTGTGTCTGCCTGGTGTCCTGGTAAGGCTTGAGAGGTGACCAATTAGGTTACTTGATTTTATCGCGCTGCGACCAGGAGGGATTACTGCTATATAAAGAGAAAACATGGGCAAACAAGATAACAGGAGCTATTCCATATTGACAGTTTCCAGTGAGTCAGCTCGCCTTCTCTTTTAGCCCGTTGAATTGTTTCTGGCAAGTAAAAGGCCCATTTAAAAATAATATGAAAACAACCCAATCCCAAACTTGATTTTCCTAGTTTTTAATCAGAGCAGGACTTTCCTACTTTCACATTTAAATGTCATTGTGGTTGCGTCTGTGTCTGTTTGTCTGACCTTTCTGTCAGTTTTCTCCAGCCAAAACATCCCTGTGCTACCACTTGATGATTTACAGTTCCAGTGGTGCAATGAAATATTAACTCGCCCCTTCTTTCCTTCCTCAGAAATTCAGACGAAGGGTTCAGGAGTCCACCCAAGTCCTGAGAGAACTGGAAATTTCGTTACGGACCAATCATATAGGGTGAGTCACTGCAAGATTGTGTGAAGTTTGTGTAGTGTTGAATGTCCTGGACCTGGTTATATTAGATTCAGGGGGAAAAGTCTGGCATTCCAGACAGCCGGAGACGCAGACGCTGACACTAACCACCACCACCATCCCCCCATTCATCTCTATGCTCCCAACTAATATTACACAGAAAGCCGTGTGGCGATGGAGGAAAGATGAATCGATTGATTGTTCTGTTTGGCTGACACATGAACAGTCTCTGGAGGAAGGAAAACACATTTTTCTTGTAGTAGCTTAGCTGCACCACTTGATACATGAGTGTTTCAGTCTGCCACTCTGGAGAGGTATTATTGTAAATGTTACTGAAGACATCGTGATTTCACTACAGATAAAAACACTTCAGTATTCTTCTGTAATACTAGGTATTACAGGATATAACACGCCTGAACCTGCTGCAGCTGATATTGATCCAGTGCTGTTCAGTCACCCTCAATGAAAGATCAATATCTCAATGAGAGTCATACAGCGTCTTGTCTTGTTTTGTCTTGCTTTGTCTTGCTCTAGATCACAAGGTCTGTTTGTATGATTAGAGACCCTGATAGCCAAAGACTGTGATGGATTGCTCAGCATCATTAATGAGGCATAATGCATTCTGGGACCTGTAGGATTCAGGGGTCTCATTTATCAATGCAATTCCTAAATAAATGACCACTGATTTTATTTTATGCAGTGGCCAAATAAAAAAATCAGTACACAAAAAACATACTGTGTATAGTACTTTTAATAGTTTCAACATACAGTAACAGACAATATACCGCATTTAGTTAAATCAATTAAAATGGTACTGAAACCTAAGAGTTCTTAATCAATGTGGTACTAGAGAAACAAGACAAAATAACTGCATTAAAGGGGAACCGCACTGATTTTTAGATGTCAGTCTGTTTACAGGTGCTGGGACGTACTACTTCATATGTGAAAAAACTACTCTCTCAATGTCATAATTTTACTCTGAAAGAAACAGATCACAGTAGAGTTGGTTGGTTTGTCTGTTAGGAATTGATTTGTGTGGATGGTTCATAAATGAGGCCTCAGGATTCATTAGTTGGGATGGAGATGAGAGCTAGCAGCTGGGAAGGATGTCAGAGGTGGGAGGCAGCGATGAGAGCATCCGCTGGCCGCAGACTGTTGTGACAGCAGAGAGGCAAAAATACACTAGTTACACAAGCATCACAAGATCCCACAGACACAGACACACGCGCACACACACTATCTGATGTATGCCTCTTAAATCCCCTGTTTTTCTTTTTTCCACCCTCCCACACACATATTACTTTACTTCAGTTTGTCTGTTTCACTCTCACAGAAATTCACAAATCATCTCATGTTCCTGACAACACTGTCTCTCACACGCCTGCACACTGTTTACACACTGATCAGATTCTGCTCTTCAAACCAAAATAAACTCCAACCACAACATGAGACGACATCCATCTGGCAGAGCAGTCGAGGCGCTGTTTACAAGGATTAACTCTTTTTTTAGTGACCTTATGTTGGTAAACTAGATTACATTAATGATCGACCTAATCTAGATTACACAATGAGGCATTACCATAATGGCAATGGGACAGGGAGAGGTTGGGTGGTGGTGGTGGTGGTGGTGGGGGGGGGGCAATATGTCACCCGCTCAGACAGTGAATGATTACTGCTTTTCAGAGGTAAAACAGAGAAATGTATCTGTCCTGTGAACTGTGTATAATGGGCAGATTGTCCCTGGACGCACACTGCTGATGCTAACCCCAGCTCCCTGCCTGCTCCTCACATGTTACTCAGTGGCCAACAACATGTGGTGAATGGGAGGATTGTTAGTTGGTGTCCTGTGGTAATGATTACCATGTGGTCCGACAAGGCCACACCTCCAAGCCCTTTTAAAACACGGGGGGGGCCCCACTAGGCAACGCTTTACTGGACGCTCTCGTTAGTCTTACTTGCTCCCATGCAGTTGCACCACAGGGGAGCTAATAAAGAAACAGCTAGTAGATTTTTAAAGCAGTTAAGACCTTCATCTTCACCAGAGCAGTGCCACTGGAAAGTCTGCCTGTGTCATTATGTTTATGCCCTGCAAATTTCTCTAATCACTGAGCAATCAGGCCCCGTCGAAGCAGTTGGCTTCAATAAAAAGACATGACACCTTCGTAGGATGTGATTAAATAAAAATGTGATTCCTGTGATTCAGTTAACGCTGCTCATGAATATGGAGGGCGAACAGAAACATGCCAAAGGTAGCAGGAGCTTTCCCACGAAAAGCCTGGCTTCTCTGTCCAAAATAAAAAATGAATGCAAGCGAAGTGCTGAATGGGTGGCCCACTTCAGTGCCTATAAGGAAGGTGAGAATGGGCTTTTGATCATTCTGAGGGCTTGTTTTTATCAGAGTTAGAAACTATGTGTGTGTGTGGTTTGTGTAGTATAGAAAAGAGGCAGACTCAGTAATGAGATTCTGTTTATGTGTGTGGATGCCTGAGCATGCATGTGTGATATGTTTGTTGCTCTGAGCCAGGAAGCTTTGAAGTCTGACAAATGGGTCATTACAATTCTTCTTGGCAAAAAGAGAGAAAGTGGAAGGAGAATAATCTGGAAACATCTGTATACCAAGGTCAGGTATGGTCAAAGCCTGCATAGAGTGTGGGAAAAAAGAATCGACATATAAAATTCTATACACAGATGCATCTCAAATATCTCAGTGCTATCGTAACAGCAAATGATGTTTCCAGATCTGTAGACTCATGACTCCTTTTATGTGTGTATTTAAATATTTTTATTGTTGTAATAGTTTTTTTTTTTTCTACTGAGATTTTCCCAAAAGAGATCAGCAGTTAAGTTGGTGCTGGTGCTGGATATCTAACCAAAAACTAATCAAACGAATTTATAAGAGTTTGTTTGCTGATAAGCTCTTGCCGAGTTAATCTTGTTTTCGTCTCTCCTCAGGTGGGTGAGAGAATTCCTGAATGAAGAGAACAAAGGCCTGGACGTGCTGGTGGAGTATCTTTCTTTTGCACAGTATGCCGTCACGTAAGTCACTACCAGTTCTCTCTCTCTTTACCTCTTTAGTCTATATGCAGAGCTGACAACCAACACAATGCTACTATTCAGCACATCCACTGATGCATCACCACACAGTGCCAGTACCACCACTACCAGCACCACCACCAACACCACCGCCGCCGCCGCTGCTGCTGCTGCTGCTGCTGCTGCCTGGTTGTCAGAAACATTGAGTCACTCGGGGCCCGTCGCTGACACATTGGCACTGTGTATTATACCAATCATAGGCTTCTATTCATGGACTGACAATGTGATTATTAGTCAGTCACACAGTCCTGTACAGGGCCAAGGAGCCACGCAGTTAAATTTTTAAACAACCCCCCCCACAAACACACACACACACACACACACACACCCCACCCCCTTTCACCATATGTTATTATGGTCTGTCCACATTATGAATGGTTAGTCGTAACTGTGTTTACCCATTACCACTGCAGCAGTACCAGCATAGAAGTCATGGAAACCACCAGTCTAAAAACTGAAATAGATCATAACAGGTATGCTGTGACTGGCAGCTCTTTTCAAAGTTTCCGCCAAGTACAACAAAACAAGCCCTCTTGCTTACGTACCATGTCTAAACTGAAAGCTGTAATTTTATGTTATAAAATGTACATATTGTATGACATATTGACTTAGCTCATAACATCTATCCAGACGTGTATTTCTATGTTAATATTTTATGGTGTTAGCTGTCATAGATGGACATCAGCAGCTAACGCTATGCTATGCTTTGTGGCTTGCTAACTGATAACGCTTGGTTGGTTTATTGGGTGGATATAGGATGTCACTGCTGCCAACAAGCTAGGCTAGTTTAGCGAGGTTAGCTTGGCCATTGGTTGATGGTAAAAGTGCCTTGATGACTTGCAAGGAGAGGCCTTTTGCTAGCACAAGTAGCATGAGACTGATGTTAGCCCATCAGTGTTAGCTTGCTTTGGAGGTTGTGTTTTTACTGTTGCTGTCATGTTTAAAATAAAGTAAATTTCCAGTTTATTTTCACCTGTATGTTCAGACATATACATTTAGCAACCACGGGAATCCTTGCAAAAATGGTTTCTCTATGTTTTGTGTTCAACAAAACACATGATGTTTTATTTTATGCCTTGTTTCCACGGTGCAACAGGTTTGACGGAGACTCTGTGGAGAATAACCCGGAGGCTGCGATTGATAAGTCTAAGCCCTGGAGCCGTTCTATAGAAGACCTGCATGGAGGAAGCACCCTGCCGTCCCCCATCACTGGGAATGGTATCACACGTGCTGGCCGACATTCCACGTTACGGTATGATGCACACACTTACGACCACTGATGGTTAAAAAGATTCACCCTTAACTAATTGTGTTCGTTTGATTTTAATATTTTTACAGTGAACTTGTTTTTTTGAGTTTACCTAGTGTTCGGCTGGACCAATGTGATTGTACTGTGATTATTTTGAGAAGTCACACATTTCATATGATGCCTCAGCAGCCCCTTTGTGGAGTCATGAGGTCTGTAAGACTGGCTTAAGACACATTTCTGCAGCAGCATGCAAATACCATTAGTCTAGATTTTTCAAATTGCTCGTTTTGCACATGATTATGACACATGATGGACAGTTATTTTCCCTGTGACAGATGATGGCAGCAAATGGAAAGATCTCCTTTTATGGAATGAATCTTTTCTTGTGTTTTTGTTTCTATTATCACCAAACAGACCATTTGAACTCCAAATCCTGTTCACACAATATTTCACAGCATTTAATTCATAAGCCCATGCTAATATATACTCTAATATATGCTCTGGAGCACAAATCCCATTCAGTTGTGCATTACTTGTCTAATCCTCCCTGTCATTCCATTGATGTTTCGGCTCTTACTTCTGTGACCTTTAATCCGTTTGTTCGAAGAGGTTAACTTGAAGACATTGTACACAAAGAAAACTATTGATTCAACAAGGCACATGTCTTATTAATATGAGGTTGTTGAATTATAACAGTCAGCCATTTTTATTCATTGTTTGAGTTGTTTTTTGTTGCCTGCTGTCTCAAAAATAAGACATTTTACAAGTAATTTTTTTTTTTTTTCGTTTTCACTTTCTAACTGCATTAACTGCTACTTCACATCACTTGTAAGCGTGTGCTGCCTCCAGATGTTACCCTTGTGTCATCACTCGAGCATATGCAGTATGTGTAACAGGTCAGACTGTCTTCATTGAGGCTGACTGTCTCTTCTGTTCTGTCCTGGTGTTCGTCCATAGTCATCTACTCTCCTGTCTGCCAATCTTCGACAGCAGGCAGGTCTCAGCTTTGCTCTGCTGGCTCACAGTGAGCTTTCTGCAGCCTCAACCCCCCCCAATGCACATACATACACAATCCCTGCCCCTGCCTCATTGTACTTTATACCTCCCTGCTAGCGCTGCCCAGTTTATTTGTCCCGCTGTCTGTGTCGGGGATGTGAATTATTTGTACTGTCAGCCTCCCCTCCCTCGCTTGAGACTGAATTCTCCTTTCCTTGGAGCAAATGGATTTTTCTGCATTCATTGTTCTTGCCTCTGTGCCTGTGTGCTGCTTGTGTGGCTCCCTAAATGCCATTCTGTGCAGAGGCTAGCCCAGTTTCTGCAAAAGCCCTGTAAAAAGCTAAACACTAGGCCACAACCAGTACAGATAGATTAGGAATCCTCTAAAAATCTTCTGTATTTTGGATGCATTAGCTGTTTTCCTGCTTAATAAGAGATGTCACATTAATTATGAAGCATTTCGTCTGCTCTAGTATCAGTGGTTTAATAATTCTTAAATTTACAATTGTCCACTATACAGAATCTTTATCACTCTCTAGATTAGCTTTTTAATTAGGATAACGTGAACTGCTAACAGCTGGATGTCAAATTAAGACTTGTATGTTTCTTCTTCAAACTGCCATCTTGAAGAACACCAAGCACACTGACCTGTCCAAAGTGCTCTCAAATAAGACGGTATGCCTGTAGACTTACGTGGAGTTAGCTAGAAATCCATAGCTGTGTTTGTCTGTATTGTAGCTGTAGTCTTAGTTTTTGATGTTGTGTGGTGTTATTTACAACATGTTCTGTCTCTTATGGTCTCGCTGTTTTTGAGGAAACGGACAGGCAATTTTTGGACAATATTCATGTGTTGAAATCAGAACATCAACTCCTGGATGTCTCAGAACTTTTTTCTTCTTAATAAGTAACCTCGTTTGACTCCAACTTTGTGAACATTCTCACCATGGACAGATATTCAATTCAGTATTACAGTATGATAATTTGTGTCTTTTTTACCCGGAGAAAGTCGTCCTCGCTGTCATATCTAACCACTTTGCTCCGTAACTGCAATTGAATATGTTGGTATCACTCTCCTTCACCGTGTCTAACTAGTTCAGAATTGTGTGTCTACACTTTAATGAGGATCAAGAAGAGATCATATTACTGTTATTCTCACCTCCCTCCACAGCTTCAGAGATTAGTGTGTCTACAGAGCAGTCCTCCTTACAGGAGATCCAACTGTAAATGTTATTCAATGAGGATTTTTCATTGACAACCTGAAAATATTGAATTACCTCCCTACTTCCACTGATCTCATTAATCATCGTCGCACTATTTTGGCTTTCAAGGTTCAACTTTAAATTTTGAACCCTGAATAATTGATTGAAACCAAACTAAATTGCCACATAATGAATTTGTTGTCCTTTAGTCCTGTTTCCTGAACTTTTTTTTTTTGTTTATTTTCCAGTTCTATCTTTTATACTTTTCTCACTGCGTTGTTTTTAATGTGTCTATATAAAGTTTAGTTGTGTAATTTCAGACAAGTCAGAGCAGGTTAAGGTATTACACGTCGCTGGTGTTGTGTAATCATTTATCATTAGTTTGGTTTGTGATTAAGACACATTTCTAAGTAATTTCTTCCAAAATGTGCCACGCCTCGATTTGGATGTTGATTAATCAGGAGAGGAAAAGCCTGTGACAGAAATCCTTTCAGATTATTTTCTCCGCTGCGTGAAGCGGGCGCTCCAGTTCTGTCAGAAAGAGTCTCGCAAATCGACTGCAGTTCTGTCAGGGAACTTGTTTTGCTGGTCGACACCACAACCTGCCGAGCACATGTAGAATACGCATAAATGCAATCTCATAAAATAAATATTAGATTTACACTGGTTTGAGCACTAAATCATTTTTCAGGACATGAAGTAACTATTTAATGTGAACTTTTTTGATACTTAACCATCTTTGTCCTAAAACTGCTGCCTCTTCCTTGCTCTTGCCTTTTTGAGACACACACACACACACACACACACACACACACACACACACACACACACACACACACACACACACACACTGACTCAGAGAAGTCACGCCTTCAGGCATGGGAGCTGACACGAATCAGCGTGTCTATCAGTAGCCTGAAGACACATTTTTCCCCAGAACTCGGGCTGGTAATTGAACCTCGTGACAACAGTCTGAAAATAAACTGTTTTGCTCTGACTGGCTCCACATATTATTCAGTAATACTGCTGCTCCAGCATTTCTCTTATTGTGAGAGCTGCACCAGGAGGAAAGGCCTTGTTTTGTTCACATAAAGCTGCACAATCACTGTGCTGCATGCAAATGACTGGCTTCTATTGTGTTAGCTGTAAGAGATATCTTTGTGAAGGGCGTTAAATTAAAACAATTGAAAAGAGGGCATCCTGTGGCCCCTGGCAAGGCTGTAGATTATATGGCCTTTGTGTGTGTTGATGTAAGGTGGTGTGGCGGTTTAATAGCCTCCCTATGTGAGGGAGATGGTCTGTGACGATGCCATTCACTAATGGCATCTGTTTTCTTGTTTGTGTTTAGATGCTTGTAGACCTGACACTTCCTTTAGTAAAACACTCTCTCTTTCCACTTCTCACTCAATTGTTTTTGTGTTTTGTGTAATGTTTCAGTTGTAACACGCTGCCCAGCCGGCGAACACTGAAAAACTCCAGACTGGTCTGTAAGAAAGACGACGTCCACGTCTGCATCATGTGCCTGCGTGCTATCATGAACTACCAGGTCAGTGCCCTGCGGTCCCTATGGGACGTCCACACAGACTCCATGTCCCTCTGGACTGAAGCACACTCTTCTAACTGAAGCCAAGTTCAATTTGTTTGACTGCTAGTTCTTCATATTTCATTTATTATGTGGGGAATGCACCTCTTGTTCATTTAGTGGCTCTTTTTCTCTGTTAATTAGCTTATGAGTCTCCATCTTTCTCCCTCTCATTTGTTTTTCATCTTCCAGTATGGCTTCAACATGGTCATGTCACACCCACATGCTGTGAATGAAATTGCACTAAGTCTCAACAATAAAAACCCCAGGTAAGTTCAAACCAAAATAAGAAATAACTGTAATGAGAAAAACTCTTAAGGTCAACATTTAAAGGAATAAAACGCACGTTTCTCTTTGCTGATAAAAAAGAGTCAGGTGGTGAGAGATTCAGTAAGAGATGCAAGCTTTACAAATCCAAATATTTTACCAACATGGATTCAAATTGGAACATTCAGAGTCCGACATGAGTGTCAGTGCACCTGCACAGTCTGATTCAGAGTGAGTGTCTTTGTCACTCAGGGGCATATTCATCCTGACAGACGGGTCAGGCCACTCCAGCTGCTTCGTGTGTGTGTGTGTGTGTGTGTGTGTGTGTGTGTGTGTGTGTGTGTCTGTGTGTGTGTGTCTGTGTCTGTGTCTGTGTCTGTGTCTGTGTGTGTGAGATAGTGGGTCAGTGTCTGTCCACTTCATGGCTCATGGCCTAAGGATTTAGGAGGTGGCCTAAGGAAACTGGAGGTGAAACCACTTTGCATCACCTGTCACATATTGTCTCATCCAGACAGAGAATTCCTGCATGAAGGAACCAGAGACGGACACACACACACACACACACGGATTAGGCCTGAAGTATTAGTATTTCATACCCACCTTTTAATCCAGTGGATTAGATGAAAATGAAAACTTTTTTCAGACCTCATAACATGCCAGTCTGTCGGCATAATTAAATTTTATCATGGTCTTTGTCAATATTTGTAAAGTGAAAAAAGATATTAAAAGGGCATTGATTGTGATAAACGTTGTAATTTCCATGTAGATAAATTTTACACCAATGTTTCAGTCTTGGTAGGAAATCCCACTGTTTTTCTCTTTGTTTGTTCCATGGTTAAGTACAGGTTTGCTGCTGCGCTGGCACTTGTCATTTACTAACCATTCCTGCCTTTATTCCCTCGCTCTTTTACAGAACTAAAGCTCTCGTCTTGGAGCTCCTGGCGGCAGTTTGTCTCGTGAGAGGAGGCCACGAAATTATTCTCTCTGCGTTCGACAACTTTAAGGAGGTAGGAGCTGCACGGGGAGGGGAAGTGGGGTCTGAGGAGACGAGTATGCCATTACATTTCGACTGTGCATTGTCAAACAGTGACTCAGCCAGGAGAGGAATGCTCCTCCGGCAGATGCAAGACCAGCAGATTCCTCACTGCTGCAGAGCAATAGCATCCAGGACTGAGCTCTTTGTCAACAAATTACAGATGCCGGTTTAGCCTCATAACACAGGAGGACCTCCAGAGAAAACAGTTACGTGTGTGTGTTAACTGGATTTGGCGGACACATCAAAGCTCAGAATAGCAGACAGACGAATGCAACAGACAGCCCTGCCTGACCCTTGCCTGTCTGGATGAGGTATTCTGGCTGCCGGTGAAAAGAGTGGGAGGTTTATGATGGAGTTGGCGCTAACAGCAGCCCCACTTTGTAGCATACGGCCTGCAAACATGGGCCGACTGCAGTTAATGCAATATTTACACCCTTGAATGAAATATTGAGTGTTGCTCTCAGCGGCATTGGCATTAGTGGGAGAATAAGTCTGAGAACGTAGCTCGTCTAATGAGATGAATGTTGAGTAATGGTCGTGATAGTGTAGGCTGCTGGAACAATGTGAGGACGCAAAGTGACACAATGTAATGTTATTAGATCTAGTTTGCCAAGTGACTTTGATATCCCAGTCAGAAATTGGATGAAGGGGCGGCAGGCTGAGGCTCTGGGCGTTATTCAGAGGTTTTTTTTTTTTTGGGATGCATACTCCTCCACTTTCTTCCTCCCTTCTCAATTCTTTATCATGCTCCATCTCCCTCATTGCCCTCCACATGAACTGTCTGAGCTGGAGAGCATCTCCCTCTCTCTTACGCTTCCTTCTCTCTCTCTCTCTCTCTCTCTCTCTCTCTCTCTCTCTCTCTTCATTCCTCTGTCTCTGTTGTTTTCTGTCTTCCAAGTTCTAGTTCAAATAGGGTTTTACTGGCAGGAAAAGTGGTACCACAAGTAATATTGGACACAGAAGCACTGCGTGAAATGAGAGAATGATTCAGCAGTAGTTCATAAATAACTGGATCATAGTAATTATCACTTGTATCACTTAATTATCAACTATGTAACGTATTTAGCAGTTAACATTACTGACTGTTTATTTTCACACCGGTGATAACGTGAGGTTTTCTGACTGGGTAACCGAGGATTAAAGGGTGGCAAGGATACAGTGCTGCTCTGTACTTTGTCAGCACTCTCTATACCACCAAAACACACCCTTGTCTTTCTTCCTGCAGAGAGAAAAAGCTCATGCTTGTTTTGATTCTAGTTGTGCTAGGGAGGGAGCAATTATATTTTTTGTGTTAATTGTGTACAGGTGGCACAGAAATTTAAGCTTAAATCACTTGTCAATTATGACTTCATCAATGTAAATTATCAGAGGTTGTTGGTGTGGGTGCCATTCATGGGAATCAGTGATTGATTGATTGTATCAATCACTGTTTCTTTCTCTCTCCACCTTGATTACTTCAAATTCAGTTTGATGTGGTTTGTTTTGCAGGTTTGTATGGAGACACAGCGGTTTGAGAAGCTAATGGAGTATTTCAAGAATGAGGACAACAACATTGACTTTATGGTATGTACACACACACACACACACACACACACACACACACACACACCTAATGACTATTGATTGTGTGATTGTGCTGCACTCCCTTGAAAATCATACATCACAAGGCAAAGATGGCTCGTGAGCCTTTTAGAGCTGAAGAAGAGCAAAGGTGTTTGCTGGTAATTTTTCACCACTGTCAAGTGTTCAGAGCAGCTGCAACACGCAGGTTAGTGCACAGGGAGCTACAAAGGTTCAGCTGTGATGAAATAAAAGCAATGATCAGAGTTACCGAGTGGTTAGAACTGTCACCTCAAAGTGAAAAGGTTCTGGGTCCGAACTATGCCTTACTATACTATAACTTTTCATGCCTTACTATAATATGACGTTTTTATACCTTAATGTATTATGACACTTCTATGCCATACTATACTATAACTTTTTTATGACTTACTATACTATGACATTTTTATGTCTTACTAGACTATGATATTTTTTGCCTTTCTATTTTATGACTTTATGCACTACTATAATATGCTAAAGGAGTTTTTTTTTTTTATCAAAACGCAACTGGACTTTGATTATTTGTCTGGGAAGACGTTTCACCTCTCATCCAAGAGGCTTCATCAGTACATCAGTACTACTATAATATGACGTTTTTATGCCTATTTTAAATGTTTGTAACACTGCTGCGCGTGTCCTCAAACAACAAACAAACACATTGTGCTTCCAGTTTTATGATACACACTCACAGGGCTGTTGTTGTCTGTGAGAGGACTCTAATTTTTCTCATCATGGCACAAACTACAGATGTAGTGCTTTACATCAAACTGGAGTGGCCCTTAAGTGAAGAATCCACGTCAAGTCTATCTGTCTAGTGTCCTAATTGATGTGTGGCATACACCGTGTGTGTGTGTGTGAGAGAGAGAGAGAGAGCTTAAACCAACAGATGCTGTGTTCAAATAGATCTTCAATAGGACTTTGAATCGGACCTCTGTCACAAGTCGTCTGACAGCAGCACTAAATCAAACAGACTTTGTCAAAGCCGACATGTCGCATGAGACAACTGAGCTTCTTACTGGGAGTTCATTAAGCCTTTGTCAGTGTGAGGAGAAGTTTGTGTGTGTGTGTGTGTGTGTGCGTGTGTGTGTGTGTGTGTGTGTGTGTGTGTGTGTGTGTGTGTGTACATTAAACACTGAGAGATTCCCCCTTGATCTGTTTATGCAGCCAATGCAGTTGAACTGGCTGATTTTGTTCATTTGTTTTCTTAGATCCTTTTAATCTGCCAGATAAGCTACTCTGCCAGCTACGTAAGCACAGTCATGCAGATTCATACACTGTTTCAGGGGAAGAGATATTAAAAAGGCAACAGATGTGATAATGAGCATAAAACCGTTTGACAGAAGTGCCAGGCTGTTGTAGAAAAACCTCAAACCTGTCGTTAAGTAGTTTATTAACGCGTTTTACTTTGCATTGTCAGCAGTTTGTTGGAATCTTAGGGTCATAAAACATTTTTATATTTATTTTTTGATTTATAACTGATGATGCGTACAAGAGGTGTTTCAAAAAATGTCCAGGAAGCGTACGGTAGATACTGTGTAACCTCATCCACTAACTATATTTTTTTCTGTTTCTATTCAGGTGGCCTGTATGCAGTTCATCAACATTGTGGTGCACTCGGTGGAGGACATGAACTTCCGAGTTCATCTACAGTACGACTTCACCAAGCTGTGTCTGGACGACTACTTAGACGTGAGTTGAGACAGAGTACTGCGGGGAAAAGTGGATAGACAGACAGAACAGAGGCGCTCTTAATGTTCAGCTCAGTCCAGAGTATACAGTTGGTTGTCATTACAACAGCCCCGAGACAGCAGCCACAGAAAAGCAGTCAATAATGGCTTTTCCATTACTTCAGGAAAAAAATCAGTTCTGTAAATCTTCATCTCCTGCCTCGCTGCAGAGGGTAAGATCGATGCTGGCCTCGGAGTCTGAGATGTCGGCCTCATGCAGTGGACTGAAAAAATGAATATCTTCCCCACCGCCTAACTGCCTCGCTCTGATTGTCACACTATCTCTTCTTTTTTTGTGTATTTTTTTCAGAAATTAAAGCACACAGAGAGCGATAAGCTGCAGGTTCAAATCCAGGCATACTTGGATAACGTCTTTGATGTGGGAGCCCTCCTGGAGGATGCCGAGACCAAAAACGCTGCCCTGGAGCGGGTGGAGGAGCTGGAGGAGAACATGTCACATGTGAGAGCCCTCGACTATTGATTCCACTCTGTGAAAATCCATAAAACTGACTCCTTAGTCTCATTTGTCTTCTCTCACAAAAGGAGTCCAGCATGTCAGGATGTTGATGGCACAGTGAATTGACAGGGTGCACGGCAGTCTGTGTGAAGCTCCTGTCACACTCCCTTGTTATCACGCCTTGCCCCCTCAGCATGGGATTTACTATGATCTAATGCTTTCACTTAACTGTCAGCCACAAGGCAAGACTTACAAGACATAGTATATATGGACACACTTTTTGTAACGTTCAAAACTTTGTCCTCATAGTTTGTTTTAATCCAGAAAAATCTATAAATTAAATGCTTTATATCCTGCCCCGCTGGATCACTTTGACATATTGAGTTGGATGTTGTCATCACAATGAGTTCACGTCACTGTGTGACCTCGTCCTCTTGGCCATTGTTCTTATAGATGACAGAGAAGCTGCAGGACATGGAGAACGAGGCCATGTCCAAGATCGTGGAGCTGGAGAAGCAGCTGATGCAAAGGAACAAGGAGCTTGACTCCATCAGGGTCAGACTCCACATTTATATTCATTAATTCAGTTTTTCATTTCAAGTACTCACTAAATACAAGAACCAAGTCTCCTTATAATAAACAATTTGATGATGATTAAATGAAAAAATGTGATTTAAAAAATTCCTGCGTATCCACATGTTTCTGATTTCTCAGTTCCTTGTTTAACATTAGTACACTGATTGTTTTATCTTCTGCTTCCTCTAATATCTCGACAATACTACTTTCTTTCTTGCTGTCTCTGCCCCACACAGGAAGTCTACAAAGACACCAGCTCGCAGGTACACTCGCTGCGGCAGATGTTAAAGGAGAAGGATGAGGCCATCCAGCGACAAAGTAACCTGGAGAAGAAGATCCACGAGCTGGAGAAGCAGGGCACCATCAAGATCCACAAGAAGGGAGACGGTGACATCTCCATCCTGCCCTCACCGCCCCATGGCGTGGAGGGTTTGCCAGGCGCTGTGGTTGGAGGAAACAGCGGAGCTGTCAGTCCAAACCATGTAGGAGTTGTAGCAGGCACGCCTGCTCCACCTCCACCGCCTCCTCCACCCCCTCCACTGCCAGTGAATGGCACATGTAGGTTTAATTTTCACCCAGTTTATTAGCATGTAAACTGTTAACCATGAAAAGCAGATAGAAGAGAGAAGATAGCATTAATTTTTATCTGACAGGCAAAATGTGTTTATTCTCTCCTAAGAACTGAGCTGGATGGCAAAAAGTACTCAGCTAGATCTGTAATAGTTTCATATCAAGTAGTTAATTTAAACTATTTTAAACTGAAGCTTCAATGAAAATAGTGAAACTTTCCAAACACCAGCATCAGAGATGTTACAGACACAGACAGGGAGCTCAGGATATATCCTCTGTTTTTGTTTACCCTATTTTCTCTATCTCTTCTCCAGTGCCAAATGGACTATCATCGGCCATTCCCGCAGCAGCAGCCGCCCCCCCACCTCCTCCACCGCCTCCCCCTCCCCCTCCACCCCCCGGACCGGCCTCAGAAATCTCAGCGCCTCTGCCTCCTCCGCCTCCTCCTGTGGCACCACCACTGCCCGGCTGCGGGACGCCCACTGTCATCATGAACTCTGGGTTGGCAGGTAAGGTCACCGTGTGTCTGTAGGTGAATGAACAATACCTTTATGTAGTGAAAATATAAGATATAACGGGCATAGCAGCTTCTTTTTAAGTGATTGCAAAGGGCTGAAATATCAAAACAACAGACAACCAGTAATGCCAGTAGCTCCCACGTAGCTTTTGTTGTTGTTGTTTATATTTGTTATTATATAAGTCAGCCTCCTAAAGGCTGCCGAACTCGCTGTCAGGTATGTGCCTTCTCAGATGATGACAACTGATCAGTGACAAAGCCAGATTAGATCCTTCTGTAACCAGATCAGTCCGTACTGTATGTAGATGTGGGTGCATATTTCTACATACCTGTATGTAAGCATGTGCGTGCTGAACTACTAGAGGGACGTAACATCCTCCCTGAGAAGCTTGAAACCTTTGAATCAGAAAACACAGCGATGCCAACCCAGTAATGTCAGTTACACTGCACCACTCAGTAAACAGTAGAAACTGTATTTATTTTGAAAGCACAGATTCTTTACTGTGCCGTGTGTGTTTGAGATGTGTGTGTTGAAGCTTTCTCACTAATTTCTCTCACGATTTCTTAATGACTTATCTTTTACTTGATCCTTTTCTTTTTTCTCTGCCAACCAGAGGGACCCATCAAACTTTTCTGTAGGTTCTGCCTGTCATGTTTGGTGTTTTATCCCCCCCAGTGTTCCCTTTCTTTCCCACAAGTTTTGAAAATGGTATTTTCAGTCTTTGAATTCCAGTTGAAAACACAAGAACAACACAGCTTCACAGAACGGCCTTCTGTAAAACATTTAGATGATTTTAAACAACAACAAAAAAAATAAAAATACCAGATTTCAAACTCTATGCATGACTTTACCTTCACACCTTGCTGTAGTATTGTGATTGAGTGTGCGTGTGTGTGCGTGCGTTCATTTGAGTGTTTGTACAAGTGGAGATATCACCACATCTCAAAGCGTTGGTTGCATGCTGAGACACAGTGACCTGCTGTGACACGCTGATGACAGAAAGTGATAGCAGTAGCTGGAATGCTGTTTACCCTTCTGACAGAGTCCCGTCTCTGCTGACACCTCGTCTGTGTAGCAAAGCCGGGCACCATCTCAATGTTCAGCTTCAACGAATCAGGCCAGGTGGCTTCAAATACTTTTAATCCCTCTAATAGATATTTTGTCACTTGGCCAGGCAGGAAATCCTCACCATACGCACCATTTACTGTACCGGTATATCCTTCGGCTTTATTCTCCTGCACGAGGCTGAGAGGCTTCACTCTGCTTAGGAAAAACAAATAAATAAATTAAGTGTGATTGTATGTTTTTAGAGATCAGGCAGACCTAGAGCCTCCAAGGGAGTCATATCCGTGTGTGTCACAAATCCCAGATACCTGTCTACCCTTTCACCTGCACGTGTGTGAATGTAAATGTATGTTCTCTGATGGTAGATAAGGAGAAACACTGTGTTAACTCGACTGTGTCCTGTGTAGCTGTTAAGATCAAGAAACCCATCAAGACAAAGTTCCGTATGCCCGTCTTCAACTGGGTAGCCCTTAAACCAAACCAGATCAATGGCACCGTCTTCAATGAGATTGATGATGAGAGGATACTCGAGGTAAGAGTCTCAGTGGTTTAACCTTGTGCATTTCTGGCATCGTTCCCATGGAAACAGAACATGATCTAATTCTTTGTTGCCTTCTTTCAGGACCTGAACGTGGACGAGTTTGAGGAGATGTTTAAGACGAAAGCCCAGGGCCAGCCGATCGACCTCACCGTAAGCAAGCAGAAGGTCATCCAGAAGGGGCCGAACAAGGTGTCTCTGCTGGACTCCAACAGGGCAAAGAACCTGGCCATCACACTGAGGAAAGTGGGCAAGACACCTGAGGAGATCTGCAAGGCCATTCAGATGTAAGCCCCTTCAAAATAAAACAACAACCCCTGAATCCCCCTGGTGTTCTTATATGCTCTTTCTGCCTAAATGAGACGTTTGTTTTGAGTGTCCCGGCCTTTGATGAATGTTGCTGTACAACACACTAGTGATAAATTAAAAATTACATTTTGGATTAATGTTGTGACCTGGCATTTATAAGTGTCTATAAATAGTAAACATAAATATATATGATTATATCAGGACAGTAGCTTTTTCTCTTTTCACATCATCAGTCATTTTGTTGAACACCTTAACCATATGTTGTGGTATCATATGTCTTTTACTTAATGAGGTTCCATTGTGTAATTATACTCTGTGTGCCGCTATCCTCCTCTGTCTTACCCCTCACCCAGATTCGACCTACGGACTCTGCCGGTGGACTTTGTGGAGTGTCTGATGCGCTTCCAGCCCACAGAGAACGAGATTAAAATTCTGCGGCAGTTCGAAAAGGAGCGCAAGCCGCTAGAAAGCCTGACCGATGAGGACCGCTTCATGATGCAGTTCAGTAAGATCGAACGGCTCATGCAGAAGATGACCATCATGGCCTTCATCGGCAACTTCTGCGAGAGCATTCAGATGCTCACACCAGTGAGTTTTGGGGCAACCTGTTAAAGATGCTACATTGTCATTATTACTATTATTATTGTTATTATTAATATTATCATCATTATTATTATTATTATTATTATTATCATTATTATTATTATTATTATTATTATTATTATTATTATTATTATTATTATTATTATTATTATTACTGGTTCCTGATGTTTAAAACATAGAAAGCAACAATGCTCCACTGAATTGGACATCCTCTTTGTTTCCCCACAGCAACTACATGCAGTCATTGCAGCATCAGTGTCCATCAAGTCATCACAGAAGCTAAAGAAAATCCTAGAGGTAATTGAAGCAGTCGCGTCTGGACTGAACATAGTGTTGAATTTGTGTGTGCTTTCCTTTTTCACGTTCATGCTCATTGCTGTTCTGCAGATTATCTTGGCACTTGGAAACTACATGAACAGCAGCAAAAGAGGAGCGGTATACGGATTCAAGCTGCAGAGTTTAGACTTGGTAAGTTGAATTTGCTTCCTCCTAGCCTTTCAAATTGTCCACTTTTTCCTTGTGCGTGTTTTCTACACCTCTAATTTCTCTTCTGCTTCATTCACAGCTACTTGATACCAAGTCGACGGACCGTAAAATAACATTGTTACACTACATAGCCAATGTGGTGAAGGAGAAATACTCGCAGGTTTCTCTCTTCTACAATGAGCTGCACTACGTGGAGAAAGCTGCAGCAGGTGAGTCAGACAGTGCTAGTGTTAGTTCATACATGTGAGATCCAGCCCATCAGTGACACATAGACAGATCCTTGTGCATCTATTGTACTTGGGAGATCCAGTTAATTCTGTTTCTTTTAATTTTCTACCAGATTTTGATATCATTCACTATAAACATTTGACTGAGTATAGTCGAGTGTGGGGTTGCACGTGTAGTTATATGTATCCCTGTGTTCACAGTCTCACTGGAGAACGTCCTGCTGGATGTTAAGGAGCTGCAGAGAGGCATGGAGTTGACCAAACGAGAGTACAGCATGCACGGCCACAACACCATGCTCAAAGACTTCATCACGCACAATGAGAACAAACTGAAAAAGCTGCAGGACGATGCCAAGATTGCACAGGTACTGCCCTGTTTTTACTTTTTTCCCCTCTGTCTGTTAAATGGTCAACTGAATGTAAATCCTCTGTCTGTTTCTGAAAGGACGCCTTCGACGAGGCGGTGAAATTCTTCGGGGAGAACTCCAAAACCACGCCGCCATCAGTCTTCTTCCCTGTGTTTGTGCGGTTTGTTAAAGCTTACAGAGTAAGTTAGATAACAGTCTCTGACACGGTCACACAAAAGCGGTTGAAAACACACACAGACACACACAGACACACACACAGACACACAGACACACAGACACACACACAGACACACAGACACACAGACACACAGACACACAGACACACACACACACACACACACACACACACACACACACACACACACACACACACACACACACACACACAGTCACATCACACAACAGAGGGGCGAGGCGGCAGACACAACAACCACACACACACACCTGTCCAGCTGTTTAGCTCTAGGCCTTGTCACTGCAGCAGCTGGGGGAAGTCAGTGTGGAGACATAAAGATATTTTGAAATGCTCATGTGCATTGTGTGTGTGACATGGTCTGGAAGTGTTCATAGCTCAGTTGTGCCCACTGTCCATCTGTGCAGTCATGTGACTAAACATCAATATGGCTTTTGATGTTCTCATGTTTCATGTTATGTTCTATACCGGAAAAACTTAAACTTTCAAATAAGCACATCTTAAGAATTGTGTATGACACACTTATTCATTCTTATTTCATTCAGAGCAGCAGTCTGATCAACAGGTTTACGTGACCTGGGATTCAATCCAAGACTGTCTGGAAGAGTTGGACTGTTTTCAGCTGTTGTCCTTCCACGGCAGCTGTGTGTCAGCTCTGTTTAGTGCACCACTTTTTCTTCTTAACTGCTCCACACTGCTCACGATGCTGAAGTACAATCTGAAGTTTGCACAGAACATTTGAATATTTTAAAATTCACTGAATTCAGTCAAAACTGTAGAGGCTTCTGCTATAATGGCAACAACACAGTGTTCCCTATGTTCATATTTAAACTGTTTATGGCATGAATCTGTAATCTCTGCAGCAAGCAGAAGAGGACAACGAGCAAAGAAAGAGACAGGAGCAGATTATGATGGAGAAACTTCTAGAACAAGAGGCCATGATGGAGGAAAACCAGAAGGTGAGTCGCCCTTCATTCCCAAATCTCCACCTACCCCCCTTCGTCTTTTTCCTCCTTTCCCTCCCTCCCTCCCTATATCGCTTTCTAGGCCAGGAGGCTACAGTGGATCACGGCAACCAGAAGGTAAGCCGGCTCCACTTCCTCCTCTTCTACTTCATCCTCTCTTCCTCCAGACTTCTGATCACAGGATTAGTTGAGCACATACTGCCTGCTGGGTATAGTTGTATCTGGTTCTACAGTCTTGACGCCTGCTGAGCCGCATCACATCGACTCAGGATCAGCAGCTCTAATTCTTAAATGGTTCAATTAACTCACACATGCACAAACGCTAGAATGAAGAGGAGTGAGTGGAGCAAAAAAAAAGAAGAAAATGACAGATGGGAGAATCCTTGGTAGAATATACTTTAGTCATGAGTTAGAGTAAGACCTATTAACAGATGTTAACAGATGTTAAATGACGTGTGTGTGTTTTTGTGTGTGTCTGTCTGTCTGTCTTCCTCAGTCTCCATCCCATAAGAACAAGCGGCAGCAGCAAGAGCTGATCCAGGAGCTCAGGAGGAAACAGGTGAAAGACAGCCGCCACGTCTACGAAGGCAAAGATGGAGCAATTGAGGACATCATCACAGGTAACGTCACTTGGGCCTGGCTGCCGTCTGTGACCAAACACACACATACAGGGCGCTCTGCATGAAGGTCCTCTCCTGTGCTATACATTCAGTCTTTAACAAAGGGATTCTAAAGCAACTAACACGATGACTTTGGCTCTTTCAAAAATTCAGCTGTCAGATGTTTGAGAATCGAAGGTATTACCTAATGAGTACAAACATGTCACTGACAGTCCAGCTAATCCAGATCTGTATCTGCTCTGTCATTGCTTTGTAACACCATCTGTACGTAGACAGGGCCGGGTTGTGACTAGATCCTAGAACATTAATTTATGAGAAGTTTACTGACAGGCGATGAAAACCTGCCATGGGCAGTGGTGGAATGTAGTACATGTATTCAAGTGCTGTACTTTAACACAGTTTAGAAGTACTTTTACATTATATATTATGATATCCAATTCATGCCAATTTACTTATACTTTTACTCCCTTAGATATACCTGACCTCTATAATTAATATTACCCAACTGATACTGAATTTTTGAGGCTGATACTGATAATGATATTTGAGTTTAAAAATGACAAATCTGTCTTTCCTTTTTTGAATTGTAAGCAAGATACATACTAAGCTGGAAATTTTACCATTAAAAAAATCTACTTGTCAGTGCTCTATATAATGCTGTTAGTGACACGGTTTCTAAATGACATCAAAGCCAGTGTCAGCATTTCTGCACTTCAATTTCTTGTTACTTATCAGCCGATATATACACAGATACCGATATCTGCAAAAAGCTCATATTGGCTGATATACATCTACTTTGGAAAATATGATTTTAAATACAAGCCAATACAAAGTATTCTAGATGATAAGCTGTTTGGGTTGTTTTTAAAGTAGGTACAGTCAGCTCCAGCTACAACAGTAAATTGCTACTTACATAATATAAAATAATATAGCACTCACAGGAGTCTTTCATTCATAATTAGTGCTTTATGTAGCACTCTTTATATATTTTTTAATATCGTACCTTTTACTTGTAATGGAATTTCTTTTTTCAATGTGGTATTGCTACTTTCAGTCTTTCAGTGCTTCTTCCACCACTAGCCATGGGAATAGCTTTTGTTAAAACGGCCTGGCAATTGAAATTCAGATTGATCTAAATATTTGTAACAATAAAACTTTGTTAGATTCTTAGAAACAGAGTTAGATAACGTTTATTGCAAAATGAATAACCCTTCTTTGCTCACCAGCAGCCTGTTGGGCTTTTCAGTGGAGCATTAAACTGCTAGAATCCTCTCTCAAACACTCTTGAAGACACTTGTCACCCGGCCCCTCTTGATGCTGTTGTTGGATATTTGCTTAGTGCTAACCAGTGCTAAACCCCTGTAGGAATCTGCTTTTCTTATATTGTGTTTGTCTTGTCTTGTCCTGGCTGTTGTCCCTTGTTGTTCTCAATGCAGTGCTGAAGACAGTGCCCTTTACCGCCCGCACAGCCAAGCGCGGCTCTCGGTTCTTCTGCGAGCCCGCCCTCAATGAGGAGTACCATTACTAAGCTTATAGAACTCTCTCTCTTCTCAAAGGTTGCTGGAACAAAATGTTCTCTTCTTTATGTCTTTCTCTCCTCCCTCTTTTTGCATGCCTCTTCACACTCCTCCTCTTTTAACCATGACACTCCACTCTCACACTCCGGACCTGTGCATGTGCACTGTGCCGGAATCTCATGGTTTTTGGAGACACGAACACGTCTGAGTGCATGCATTTGTGTGTGTTCACGTATTCTATCCCTCCCTGAGCATGACAAGGTGTTGGGGGTAACGGTTTTCTTCACTTGCATGAAGTGTGACACTCTCATTCATCATCATTATTTTATCAGTCATGGCAAATCATAATGTCACAGAGAGAACTGTCTCCAAGGTCACTCTTACCTGTGCTGTCAGGAGATTTAAAGTGGTGGAGCGTACTTTGTCATGTAAAGGAGCAGAAATGTTCAGCTGGGTGCTGCTATCTAGTGGTGGAATACTGAAACTGTATATCAATTTATGAATGTAGTAGTTAAGAATTCATCTTTGATTAGATTCAAATTTAATGATCCAATTTGGTCAGTAGCACCCAACATTCTGCAGTGCCATCTTGTAATATACATTAGTATATAGACAAGCTTATCTTCATCTACATGGCAGGTATGACTAACGCCATGATGTGTAAGTGCCTGTGGCATTATAACTTGCTTTTTTCTGTGTGTTTCACTCAATGTTTTAATCAGAAATGAATGTTTGTGTGTTCATTATCACATATCATTACTGCTGTTGACACAGCTTCTTGCACGCTGATCGCTTCATCCCTGCCGCTTTTTCATGATGCACCCCTGCTCTCCCAGTTAGCCCACATGCTGTGGCTTGGTCCTGCCGTCTGCTGGCAGGTCACCTCTCTGTCATATGACTCTCTGCTGTCTGGCAGGCTCACTAACCCACCCATATAAATAATCTTTTGCATTACAGCAGTCTGTATTTACACTTGCAGTGTGCGTGTTACTAACATGCAACCACTGAGACCTGTTTGGTGGTAATTAACCAGTAGTCAGCTGACTGCATGCATGCTTTATTTGGTTTTTGGTGACGAGGCTGTTGAACATAATCCTGCTGTCTCCTGGAACCATATTTATTTCTTTTTCAGTTCACAATCGCTCTGTACTGGAAGTTTGAGACAGGCTTGTTGTCTTTCCTGCTGGTAGCCTCTCTGCAAAGCAGTCTGGGTTTAGTAACAGAAAAAAAAACCTAAATAAGCTTTGATCCTCTACTCCATCCACCCTCAATCCTCCTTCCTGCCAGTTGAACCAGTTAACATCCTCCAGCTCTTTCCCTTCTCATGCCCTTATCCCACTCTGGCCTTTCCCCCGTGCAGCCTGCTGCCACTCTGCTTTGCTCCTGCAGCGCTCTCTGTGCAAAGCCAGTGTGAAAATGTTGGGCTGACGCTCTGGTCAGTCTCCTCCTCCTTCATTTTTAACCTTCATTTTGTCTTCTCTTTATCTAGCCCTAAAGAAGAATAATATTACTAAATTTCCCAATGTCTACTCGAGGGTAAGGAACTCCTCCAGTAGCACCTCTGTAGTGGTGGATGTGTCCCAAACCTGGCAAGCATCTCTTTATTACCTCCCTTCCTGTTTTACTGTCTTCTTATTTAGGGTTCACTCAGCATTCACCTACCTGTCCCTTTGTTTCTCCTCATTATATCTGCTTAATAACAGTAGATTTGAATGTCTAATGCAAAAAAATAGTTACTCTTTGCATTAGTTTCTTGACCTTTTATTAATCATCACAGATTTTCTAGATTTCTGGCAGAGGCTTACAAGTCAAAACCCCATGGCTTGTCTCAGTCATAATACCCAGAGACAGCTGGACCTGAGGGGCTTTTTTTTTTTCCCTGTGTAGACCTCACGCTGCTTTCAAAGACAGGCTACCAGCACTATGAGCATGTGGGCTCATCAAATCACCCTGACAAGATGACTGACAGTTCTTTTATCCACTCCACCCCACAAACCCATCCCCATCCCCATCCAATCCCCTCTTCCCCATCCTCCCCTCTCAGATTTGAGGAATCAGCCTTACAGGCGAGCAGACGCTGTGCGGAGGAGTGTCAGGAGGCGCTTTGATGATCAGAACTTGCGGCCGGTGAACAACGGCGAAGTGGTCATGTGACGAAGGAACGGTGTATGTGCTGGAAGGGGGGAGGGGAGGGAGGGGAGTGAGGATGTGAAACGACAAGAGAAGGAGAGAGAGTAGGTTGGATGCAGAGCGAAGAGGGATAAGTGAAAGATGACAAGTGTTGTAGCACCCATAGAGATGAGTATGTATATATATTACATAAGAATACATGTTATTCCATGTCTGTGGTATCGTAGCAGCTTTTCACTATGAAGGACTGGGACATGTACAGGACTGAATTTAAAGAAAAGTGTCTGAAAGGTTGGTTGAGAAACCTTAGACAAGCCAAGTGCCTGAACTTATTTTTGTGGTGTAATGTCACGTCGTCCTCCGTTTGTCTGATAACTGTTTTTAATATCCCCACTTCAAGCAATACGATTTGACCTGGCTTTAATTTGAGGACGTGTAAAACTGGACTTACGGTGGCTTTAAGAGCCACATGAACAGATGCTTCCTTGGAAACATAATGTAGAATGTATGGGACGTGTTCCCTTTAGCTGTTACAAATATTACATCTTTTAGCGATGAGTTTGACACCCGGTAATATCTCGGTACATTTCGGTGCTCTCTTCCATTCCTCTTACTATACAAACATGCATCTCATCTTTTACTACAAGGGCTGATGATCAGGCAGGAAGAAAGTGGAAATAGAATAATTAAAAATCTATATTTGTACTAAAGTTAGTATAAGGTAGATGGAAAAATGAATGAAAAAGACAGTAATTCTTTTCAAACAAAACCAGGCTAATGTGAACTGTATATATCAGACCGCTACACTGACTTCTCTTCACCACAGTTAGTGAATCAAGTCTGACTCTAACTCTTAATCCATAAAAGAGGCTGTCTGCTTACTTAAAACTCTGCCGTACATTTCTGTAGCAGCACAGCAATTTGACTGGTTTCTGGGAACAAATTAAGACGCAACATAAAAAAAGTTTTCTACCAAGCATAGAAACTGCACAAAAGATACTGAATCCTACTGGATGATTTCATTGTCAAAACTGGATATAACTTAGCATTTTATCTGTGTAAACTTTTTTTTTTTTACAGGTTAATCATATTCCTGGCTACTGTGTCTACTCACTTTATTGTAATTTTAATGTATAGTATTTAACCACTGAGAAGATTCCTTTAAGCTCATGTTTCCATCTAATGTGTGTCCACAGTCATTAGAACACAGCGAAACAAAAGTACACAACACAAAAAGTTTCCTAAATGTACAGATATTTTGCTACAAACCTTTTTTTTTTTTTTTTTTACTTATTCACATTACCAGATGGTTAACATTGTACATATTGTTTAAACAAAGGTTTGCGTTGCCTTGTGCTATACAACTTGAATGTTATTTTAACTTATAGTTTTTGTTTCCATGTTTGTATATTTAATTAAACCAAATGCAGCCAGGAATCTACAGTAGTGTGTTAAATCACGTCTCATGTTGTGCAGGAGGATCACTGAGTTTGCTTGCGGTGTGCGTCACAGGTGCATCAAAGCCAGCTACAAAAACATGCAACATATTGTGATTTGCAAGTGTTCAAACATTTGAACTTTATGGCTTCATTGTAACTATTACACTAGTCTGTATTTGTTGACCTGTGATGCGCTGGTTTTGTGGCTCAGTGATGCAGCCTGCTGACTTGACTATAATCATCTCCACTGAAGCATGTGCTGCCGTACATCTGCTTTTCTCTCAACTTCACCCTCTGTAATAGTGTCATATCTCTAACTGGATAATACTGGCATGTTTTTTTTTTTTTTTACTTTCACCAGATATGTACTTTAGGCAGTTTGTGCTTGTTACAAAATAACATGTTTTTTTTTTGTTGTTTTTTTTTTTTTTTAAATTAGGTGATATGAGATTTTCAACAAATATGATGAAATAAACTATTTACATTGATTATAGAATTGTTTGTCTTGAAACTGGTGATGGTTGAGAATTGACAGAACTCTCAATATTATTACTGACGGCTATATTTTCACATCTGGTAGAGCATGATCTGATGGCGAACTGGCTCCATTTTTAGGCCACATTAGGGTAATAATAATGCTATTTCTGAAGGGTTTAGTTAGTGGGTAAGCATGTCTCATAAATATAAGAAATTACATGAAAAAATAAATAAGAGAACCTTTGACTTTGACTGTAATGAACACCATAAGTATCCAATTGCAGGAGTAATCCATTGAAAAAGTTTTATTACATTGAACTACAGTATTTCGATTTTAACATAATGCTCCAATTGAAACCTTTTTGAATCATTCATTGAGAACACAGCTGCAGCTGGATCAAATCAAATATTTGATATATTTGATTGGATCAAATATTGCCTGTTATTTCTGAACAAGCCTGTTTTCTTGCTACATTTCCATGTGAGAGACAGTCAGTCGGACATTAAGATATGCTTTTAATTGAATATAAAAATGATCAGCAATGGAAAACATGTACAACTACAGTCAACTAAAAAAAATGTTAAAGCTAACAAAAGCAACAAAAGGACAACCTGATGTTTAACGATTGATCAGCTGTTGCCGATATCAAATTATTTACCAAGTGAGTGTGTAAGTTCAGTGTAGCCTATTCCCATTAAATACCAGTGGAAGATGTTATCTCACACAGTCAGTCCAGAATGGTGTGACCCGTGCAGTCAGATGAGCTTGAAGGGGAATGCATGTTTGTAGAAGTGTACAAATACCACAAAAGAGCAGCAGAATTGTGATCATCAAGGTGCATCCAGCTGTTCCAGTAAAGTTCTTCTCCTTTTCTCCAGCTCTCCTTCACTCAGCTCACTGCCTGATGTATCCCAGCCACCCTGATTACAACACAGGAAAACACAAAGACTTTGTGATGTAATACACTGTGAGATATGCAAATTAACTGGACAAATATAACATTTATTTAGAGGTTATCTCCTGGAACAAGAAAAGAGTGTATGATAAGACAAGACAAACTTGACTTAAATTTAGCAACTTTTGTCTAGTACTCATAAATTTTCCACGCACAAAAAAGGCCAATGCAGCACTAATTAAAACTCATTTTTTCTAAAACATACTTTAAAACACTGGTTTGCTGAAATGAAACTTTATCTATTTACAAAGAAAACTAACCTCCTCTTTGGCCGCTTTCCTTTTAGGAGACTTCTGTTTAGAGTCGGAGCGAGATTTCCCCCGAGACTTGTCGTTCTCTTTATCTTTGTCAAGGTCTTTTTCACGCTTCCCATCACGCTCTCTTCCTTTCTTCTCATTGTCAGAATCTGGTGATGCCTGTTTGTCACAATCACAGTCAGTGTGCATACAAACACAACATATACATTCAGATTATTTATACACAATTAATAGATTTTGGTGGTGTTCCTGTATACTTACAGACTTGTGGCGTCTCTTCTTGCCCTTCTTCTTGTGCTTCTTGGATTTCTTATAGCTTCTCTCTGGTTTCAGGAGGAAAATGTCAGTAAATGTCAATTGCACTGCACTTCTTCAATATGATGATAAATGATGAGAAGCTGTGAAACCCACTCACCAGATTCTCCACTGGAGGAGCGTTCCGAGGGGGATTTGGACTGTGACCTCTTTTTCTTCTTATGATATTCCTCATCCTCAGACTCTGAGCCCTGTCAAAAACATTAAAGTCAAGTAATTTAGACATCAACAAGGCGTGATGGGGGGGCAGATTATTGATTGCTAAATTGTTTGCCCACAGCTCATTGTCTCATCTAAGCACAGTGGTGAGGACTACTGACTGATCGAGAGCGGGAACGTTTCCTGTGGTGCTTCTTGGACTTCTTTGAGTGCTTCTTTGCCTTTGAATGGTGATGTTGACATTCATGCTGTTAAAATAATAAATACCATGTTTAACACCACCATCATCCTCATGAATGATAAATTCAGCCCATTCCCACTGTAATGACAGCCTTACCTCTAAGACATGCATGAAGTCTTTGAAAATCCTCTTCCTCTCCGACTCCAGAGTCACGTCTTCAAAGGCAGATTCTTTTAAGAATCTCTCTCTTACCTGAAATATTAAATTGTGAGTCATCACAAAACATCAAGTAAAATGATATGACACTGACAATACAATAAAAACTGAAGACACCTACTGTTTTACAAGTAATTTAGAAATCATTAGGACTAAATAGTGGAGAGGGGGATATAACTAGAAAAGAGGCGGTGCTGAAACTATAACAATATTGATCACATTAAAAAAAAAAAAAAAACTTACTCCCTCCCATGTAGCCTCTGGCTCCAGCGGTGGTGTGGCCTGTTTCAGCATGTTCTTGAAGGCTGCTTCTTTCCTTTTCATCTTCCTGGCCTCCTCCTTCTCTCGCTCCCTCTCTCTGGCTTCAGCCTTCTCAAGTAACTACGCAGAGAGAGGTTGCAAGGTCGGTTAAATTAATGATCACAAACGTTGAAAACAAGAAAATTATGCCGTCACATAAAGGTGAGTTTGAAATTGTTTTCTACAATGTAATATGTTCAACTTTGCTCACAAGTCAAGTGTAGTGACTTGTGAGCAAGTAAGTAAAGCTCAAATTACACTTTCAGCTCAGTAACTGGCATCTTATCCTGTTACCATACTTTGTTTCACAGCATCAGTGCACATCTTTAGACACTACACTTCACCTCTACAATCGAATGTCATCTAAAACAGCTGTTCTGCCTTTAATTAATCTACCTATATGGTGCCCATTACGTTCAGGTCCTTTTTTGTTTGGTTTGGAAATTATGTTTTCACACTGACGCCATAGTGGTGCTGATGTACTAGACGACATTATATTCACAGGTGTTTCCTGCCCCCCTTATGTATGAAATGGAGACGACAAAAAATTTGAAACACCTCAGCTGTGAATTTTTATAACTTTGACAGGTGTCCTTTAAAGTGGCCACAGAGTATATGAAGGATATGTGAAAAGCTAGGGGGGAAAAAAATGTATGTAGGCCAGAGAACTTACACTGTTGAAGGCCAGCTTTATGTTTCCTGCATCCAGTGTGGTGGCTCTCTTGTCTGAGCTGATGACTGATCCAAAGTCATCAAAGCTGGTGTTAACTTCAACCAGGAAGCCTTTGTCCTGGTGACGGAGAGAAGGGAGTGAAATAAAATAACTTGTAAAAATATAACTATATCAAAACAAACTTCTCAGATGAGACATTGATATGCGCAGATGTACAGTGTACACTTTGCTATAATCTCACTTTAAGAATATCTTTGATGATCCTTTTTTCATCATGGTAGCGAGCCTTCAAGTCTTCCACATAGAATTTGAAGAGATCCAGGGGAGTGGAACCTGAACAGTAGACACCATAGAGTGAAAAAAACTACATATTGTTTCATGCAGCAAAAAATCTATGAACCAACAGAGTCCAACTCAGTCACACACCAATGATGAAAAAACAATGAAGCCAATACAGAGTAATACAAGTAAGTACAAGAGAAATGTAAAGTGACTGGGATAAAAAATAAAACTTGATCAACAGTGCACTGCTGTGTTTCATACGGTATTTACATCCTGAGCTGTGTATGCTTTATTTCTGCGTTCATGTCATGTGCTGTTGTCGGCGTGGCACATCCACGTGCTTCAGAGCGCTCAGCTCACGCGGACGTGTGAAGCCACATGTGCTGTGGCCTGCTGTCTTACCCGGCTGGCCCAGCATGTTGGCAAAGCGGATGTCTGAGCTCAGGGTTGGGTACATCTCCATCCAGGCAGACATGGAGTGAAGCTGGCCGTGGTCATGGAGCTCATCGAGAAATTTCTGAGAGAAAACAGGAAAATATGTGAAATAAGTGATATCCCATGTTTAAACAAATAGAATTTGTCCTTTTTATGATTTGTTGTAGATAATGATTAAACTAGCAGAACAGCTGATGTAATAAACAGATTGGAACTGCTGTAACATTTTTTGCAAAATGAGAAATCAGACCAGTTCCTTCCATTACATTTGTAAGTATCCATTCCCTCTCACCTGGAAAGCCTCTCTGTTTTTGCGCTGTCGCCTCCTCTCCCTGAGAAGAGTTTTCTGTTTCTCTTCCTCCTCCTCCTTCTCCAGCGCCCGGATGTGCTCCTCAAAACAAATCAGGGCATCCTCCTTGTCCATATCTGTCAATAAATAACAACACTATCAAGAGGGCTGCATAGAACCAAAGGAAACTGTGACTATCTCAGATATAGTGAGGTTCACATAGAGAAGATAAAACTAAGACATGAATTTCTGCGCTCATACTCTGCAGCTCCTCATCTTCTGCAAAGGTGGGGTTGTCTAGCAGGTACTGCTGGGCCTCAGACCAGGTGGTGCGGTAGGTGACATTGGCCATGTTGTCCAGAATGTTCTTTAGAGCTTCCCAGTTCCTCTTTCTCAGCTGCTTAGCTTGCTCCTGTTGGAACAGAGGATGAAACCAGGATGTTCACAGTGCCAATATTCTCAAAGCTCCCATCTTCAGGTAACATCATCTAAGAGATGAATGATTCTACATCATTGAGATAAACGTGCTGACTAAAAATCTCTTCAAATACTAAAACTTGGGAGGACTGTTGCTTTACCAACGACTTACCTTCTCTTTCTTAGCGAGGTAGAACAACACATCTTCATAGATCTCCAGCCTGTCTCTCTCTGGAACGCAACTCCACACCTCAAGCTCACCAAACATCTGTTCTGCTTTCCTGGATTACAAGTACACGAACACACACACACATGAACACACACACACGAACACACACACACACACACACACACACACACACACACACACATTTAGGATATTTTCACACAACCCACATGAGGGCAGCATTTCACAGGCCAAATCTTCCTTTAATACTTTTGTCATTAATACTTAGTACATCCCATTAGA